TAGCCGGGCTCCATCAGCTTTCTTCACCACATTTGCTTATGCACCTGCTTTGTCTTCAGCGATTGTGTCGGGAAGGTGAGCATCATGGAATTCCAGTTTAATAGAACAAAGTATTCTTGCATTGAGAAGTACTTGAGAGGAGGCCCAATGTCCATCTGCTACCTTAATACTAAACCTATACATATATGCACATAAATCTATTTCACCATCCTCATATGTAAATATATTTACATATGTACATGCCTGAATTTAGACCTCTATATACGCCCTTTGCCTCCTAGCTCTTTCCTCTATTTCCTTTTACTTTCTTCTTGTCCCACTATCATGCTCAGCCTTCATTTGGGTTACAGTAATTCCTCTCAGTTACATTAGCCTTGATCATGCCCCACCAGGCCTCCTACACCCTACTCACCACTGATTGGCATCACTTGTTGTTCCCTTGTCCCTGGATTTGTTAACACCACTTTCTCCCCCCGCACCTCCCTCCTCTCCCATGTCCCCCTGGAACTGTCGCTCCCACAAACAATGGTATTTTCAGTAGCCTCACATGCTATGGAAACAGGACAATGAATACGGAAGTCTGCAGCAGAGGAGGTGCGTTGGAATGTTATGGTTTTGGTGAAGAATAGTGAAAGCACAACGGACTGCCAGGAGAAGAAAAAAATCTGACTTGGGAGAGAGATAGCTAGTATTCCCCGTAACAGTGAGGATGGTGAGAGGGTGTTTCACATTCCTTGGGTATGTTACCAGGAGAAGCCAGTCTCTGGAAAAGGGATGATGAGGTAAAGGGTCAGCCAAAATAAAGGAAGACCTTGAATGAATGGGGTGACACAGTGGCTGCAGCAGTGAGCTCCAACATGACAATTAAGAGCATGCACAGGCCCCCGGGCAGTGTTCTGTTCCCTTGTGCATCGGGTCACTAACATCTGGAACTGGCTGAGCAGCACCTCACAGTGCCAGCAGCAACATACTGATCATACTGAGATCTCAGAAGCATCAGGCGACATGAAAGCGACAAAAAGTTGTAGGAAATGCTATCACTTACCTAAACTCTAAAGGCATCTAAAAAACATTTACAAAGTGTATAATTTACTTATCCGTGTATATGCGTTTATGTTTTACATATAAATGAGTCTAAAGGATTTATGCCAGATTCATGTCATTTGTTGCCTCTGTTGAGAGAATAGAGACCAATTGGGAAAAGAATAAAGGAGACTCCAATTCTTATGTAAATATTTCATTGATTTTAAGCCTTTAAAGATATGGAGCAGGTATGACAGATATTACCAAGAGTTAATACCAAATGGTGAGTACCTGGAAGCTTGTTACATAATATACTGATTTTTGTATACTGAAATGTTTAATTCAGTGATCTCTATACTGTACCAAGTCTCCTTCCTGAATCCCACTCTGTAGGCAGCAGCTAAGACACATTATATTTCATATTTTCAACACCAATATCATGTAAGGAACATTTGTGTTACGCAAAAGTAATTGATTTGATCAAATGGCCATAATATTTAATTCGATCACTAATTTTTGTAGGTGTCAGATCAAAACTACCCCAGAATTAAGCAAGTTTTCTTTTTACTTTAAACTTAGCAATCGTGTATTATAAACAGCCTTAGAGAACTACTCTGTAGTGTGGGTCATGTTTTCAGTCATCGTATCCAAGTGACTCCGTGATTGTAAGAATTCTCTCTGCCAGTGTAATTTCCACTAGGTAGGTTTGCTTGAGCTGCCTGAACATGTTTCATTGTAACTACACATAAATCACTGAGCAAGCATTATTGGTACCTTATTTAGTACCTTCCATACACAAACCCTTTAGTATGTAGGACATCTTAAAAAGAAGTCACTATTGCTACTGTATGAAGCCCAGTGCAGTAGATAAAGAGTCAACTAGCCGCCTGACTAAATCATTTCTGTGGTGTACGTTTAATAGAGTTGTGGGAGCTCCTTAGGAAAGAATAATTCATTCCAATTAAGGAAAATTCCAGTAGAGGACACATTTGAGCTTACTCTTAAAGGAAGAACAGCATCTTGCCAGAGAATAGTACTAACAGAAGCACCAAGTATGTGGTACATCCCTAAAAAATCCAATGTAGTGTGCCTGGGGGAGGGTTATATGGAAAACCTATTTGGGGCAGGGGACATATTTGCTCACAAAACTTGGAAATTTGCATAGAGCCAGTTTTTTGAGCTCTTGGAATAATATGGAGAAATTTGGGGGAATGTATTCTATGGGCTGTGAGAACCTAGTGGAAAGTTTTGAGCAGGGCAATAATGAGTAATAGGATTTTGCCAGCATTTTAAGCAGACTGCCAGCAGTGCATTTAGAGGACGGGTTCAAGTTTGGGTCCTAGAAAACAAGAAAATCAGCCTCTCCACTTGATCCCGTAGAGATGGCGGAAAGGAGGGAGGGACAAGAAACACATTTCTGAAGTATAACTGTTGGAACTTAGAGACTAGTGGTCTGAAGGTGGAGCTGAGACCTGGCTTTTATCTGCGCAAACTCTGAGATAAGGGGTGGGGGTAGGAGTTAACCAGGAAAGGAGGAGCAGGCTTAAAGATAAGATTGGGAGATTCGATTGGAGAATGTTGTGCATGTAGCATGCAGAAGACAACTGGAAATTCTCTGAGAAGAGTAGTG